TGGTCGGTGGGGTGTGTTGAGGGTGGTGGGGTAGATTGCAGTGGCTAGTGGTGTATGTTATTGGCGGTGACGTTGATTATGGTGGCTGTCCAGGAAATTGGTGGGTGGTGCTGCCGGTGGGGAATTGTAGATGAAGAAGAAGAGGAAGAATTTGTCAAAAGAGTCAAAATAGCGGTTAGGTCGGGCTCACAGATGGAAAACCCAATGATAAAATAAAATAAAAAATTAAACGGGTGGTTAGTTCAAAAACAGGTTCATTTTTGTGGGGATAATTTACAAATTATCCTTAATATTATTTTAAATCTATATTGTTTGAATTCTAAGTTTTTTTTTAAGGGTAATAATGATAATAATTTGTTTGTTCCGTAATCGCCAATTTTACTTGGTTATTCACAAGGTTATTATCGCTTATGATTATTATTTTCTGTATTGTTTGAATTTTAAGTTTTTGTTTTAAGCGAATAATGATGATAATTTGTTTGTTCCGAAATCGCCCAATTTGTTTGTTTTAAGCGAAGACGACGACATGGTACGATGTATACCCATTTCATATTTAAGATTCTCCATGGTCGTGTGTCGCACTACTGCTTGGGGTTGATTCTCACTGAGCTGAACAGGATGAGGGACTTGGCTGACGAAGTGTATGCTCGGTGCGGGTGTGCTATTTCAGTAACTCATGGATTACCTTGTGCATGCACCATTCACCGCGTTATTACAGAAGAAAGGGCGTCGTTAAATGTTGATCAGGTCCATTCATTTTGGCGGACGCTCGTTATTGGTGAGCATGCAGATACTCAAACGGCAAACCGTGAGCAGGAGGAGTTGGAGCAGTTTCGTTCGATGGCTGACCGAGTGTCCTCCAGTCATCCTTCTATTATTCGTGACGTTACTCATGTAATTCATGACATGTTCCACACGTCTACCTTAGATTTTGAGGAACCCGAAGGAGTTGACCGTCCTCGAGGTCGCCAACGGCGGAACAGGAGTGCGTTTGAGTATATTCATGGTCTTGGTCGTGGTCGTGGTCGTTCTCGTGGTCGGACATCGTCATCCGGTCGTACTCAATCTTCATCGTCTGTGAATATGCCTGATCGAACTGGTACGTGGTGGTTTTTTACATTGCACATTGTTTATAAGGTTACTCCTGCCTTCTTAACTGTGTTTAATTATACGGTGAATAGGAAGAAACGATGTTGATCAGTTTCCGTACAAGGACAGAATACCTAACATCATCATGCCGTACTTGGAAGGGTGGAATGATGTAGTCGGAGATGGTAACTGCGGATTCCGGGTCGTGGCTGATGTTTTTCAAATGGGCGAAGACAACTACGGTTTGGTGCGTCAGTTGATGTACAGCGAAATTGCCTCTAACCGAAACGTTTATCGGCATGTGTACCAGGATGACTTGGATGGCGCTCTGCGGCGTATCCGGTGGGGAGGTGGACCGTCCGGTGAAAATCATTATTTTGACGCGCCCCTAGATCTGTTTGCCGTTGCAAACATTTATAAGTGCACAGTCATGCATTTCGGGTTGGGATTGCACAGTCAAGCGTATTATCCTTGTACCACGGTTCTCCCTTGGCGTTCGCGTGAGACTGTCACCACACCGGTCAGAGAGGTAGTTATTGCGTTTCTTGGGTCGTCATACAGACATTTCATCCGACTAGACATGTCATCCGATTTTCCAGTGCCACCGATTATACCTCTGTGGTACACCATTCGCACAGCGAGCATAGAGGGTTGGGATGCGCTATATCATGACCGGATCCACGAATGGAACACCCTAGCTGCATTTTAGTTTTTCATGTTTACATTCTTCCTATGTAAGCTAAAACAGCAATGATAATATGTCAAAATTGAAAGCTAAAACAACAATCGAAAATGTTACAAACTTAAAACATCATGTCCAATTTAATAAATTAAAACGATATTATTTTATGTACGCCTCGACGATGTCACGATACTGAATGAGTCCCGTGTACAGGGTCCTGGGTACCCTAACACTAGGGTTCGGGCCGAAAGGCATCCAGTTCACCTGCACATAGTTTTAAAATATGATAACATGAATATAAAATGTGCATATAATAAAATGTATTTCCAATTTATAAACGTTATCTCTAAGGGGGACAGCCTGTCAAGCAATAACCGTATCGATCGGAGGCGGTCAACGGACTTCTTCTCCGAGCGCGGACTCCACGCACAAGCACGCAGCATCCCCTCATCAATAGGAACCGGGTCACGATGTGGTCGCAATGCAGGAAAGTACTCGTATATCCAGGTCTGCAATAGAGTCAGACACCCAGTGATACCAGCCGCGTCAGCCCGACTCGCAAATCCTAGTTGGCGATACAAATACGCCAACGTAGCCGATCCCCAGGAAAACTGGCCTACACTGTCAGGGTCACACGCCTCTACTATGTCGCGTGGCCTGAGCTTGTTTCCGCCGCTCTTATCCGGAAACAAGGTACATCCGAGGAGTAGAAAAACATAAGCACTCAGCTGTGCGTCGTGCGTCCTACGTGCACTAGGGTACATACACCGCTGCAACATGGATGCGATCTTCACACCGCCGTGTTCCCAAACACCAAGCGCCTCGGTGTACAGTGCAGCCCTGTCCACCGCCAACATCTCCGCCAGCAAATCTGCCTGATCCGCATCAGCCACAGCACAAAGTCGTTTACCCTCAACACGAATCCCCAGAATGGCCTCGACGTCATGTAACATGATCGTCATCTCACCGAACGGAAGGTGGAAAGAGTTTGTATCCGGTTGCCAGCGCTCAACGAAAGCCGTGATCAGCGTAGTGTCAATCTTATCGTGCATGGTGGCAGGAACGTGATTCACCCCAGTGCCCTCCAGTCACTCGAACATCTCGCTCTCCGCCGGCCAAGCCTCAGCCCATGTACGCAAAAAGCTACAAGTCTTTTCCCGGGTATGACATTTCAACAACCCCGTAACTGAAGGCCTCTCCTGGTCCTCCCAAATACGGGCAGCTATGTGTCCTAGAAAGCTAGGAATCACACTCCCGTCAACAGGCCCACCGGGCACCTCACTCCTAACAACCCAAGAATCATTAACGGCCCTCGACCGTTTCCTGCTTGCCCCAGATACAGTGGACGCAGATGATGTGCCAGATTTACTAACAAACCTACCACCCCTACCCTTACGCACCTCCACCATATGTGTCTCGTACATGTCATCAACCCTCTGACTGAATGGACCGTAATCATCATACGGTCCACTCCCATCGTCCACATCCTCATCCTCATATACGTCCTCCTCCTGCTCCTCCTCCTGGTCACCCTCCTCAGCATCATCATCGTCATCGCCATCCTCATCCCGACGGTGGATCCGTTCTCTACGAGCCGAGGCCGAAATACCACGGGATCTAACATGTCTATGCCCCGACCTCTCCACTGAATAGCTTCTACTTAGAAGCTCTACATTCTTCCCCGCACCATGACGACCCAGTGAATTCTACAAAAAATTAAAAAATATATAAACATACAACAGTTTTTTAGAAAAATAAATAACTACCTACACATACAAAATACCATTAATAAAAAAATTAAAAAATATATAAACATACAAACCCTAAACATAAAAAATTTAAACATTAACACAAAAAATAAATCTGATTTTATAAAAAAAATATATACTGGATTTATAAAAAAAAAATAACACATAAAATTAATAAATATTTTTAAAAAAATCAAACACATTAACAAAAAAATTACACATAAAACAAAATTATTTAAAATATAACAAAATTTCTGATTTTCCAAAAACAAAATAAATTTACACAAAAAAAAAAAAAAAAAAAAAAAAAATTAGAGGCAGGTGGGGCGCCTGGCCAGGACGCCCACCCACTGGCGGTGGCGCCAGATCCGGTAGCCATAGCCAGTGGGCAGGCGCCTGAACTGGACGCCCACCCATAGGCACAGGCGCCAGATCTGGACGCCACAGCCAATGGGCTGGCTGCTGGTTTGGACGCCTGTCTGGTGGCTGGGCTTCCAAGCCAGACGCCACGCCACCGGATGTGGCTGCCGGAGCTGGCGCCCCACCTTCGCCCCTTATTTATTTATTTTTTTTTTAAAAAAATTATTTAAATAATTACCTTGCCACCAGGTCGCCGCCTTTCCTCCGCCGCCACCTCTTTCCCTTGCCGCCTCGACATTGTCGTAATTAATTTTCTTCAGAGAGGTAGATTTCTGATTTTTTTAGAGAGATGTAGAGAGTTTTTTTTAAAAAAAGGAAAAGGGCAATAAAGTCACTTCAATACAAATTTGTGGGCTTTATGTGGAGATTTGCGGGCGATGTTTAGCGATTCACAAAAGAATATATATTTGTATATTTAAAAATGGGTCTGAGTGGACCCTGATCCAACCAATTACCACCTTTAGTCTTAACCACTAATTCAAAACCTCATTAATATTAGGGTAATGATATATGCAACCCTTATGGCTATATAAGCATTAAAAATACTTTTTAAAATAGAATTAAGTTGTAAATTTATGACAAAATCACACGAAAATCAGTGTAATTAATGTTAATTTATCTTCAATATTTCATTTTTTAGCTTCTTATTAAACTTGATCAATGCGCGGGCTGGACTGGGTCGAAGCTAAAAAAATATGCCATTACTCGGGTCGGGCCTAGCTTCGGGCCGAAATTCCATGCCGTCCAAAATGGTCGGACCGTACAGGCTTTTCTAGCCTGGCAAAAAAAATGAACAAAAACAACATTAAAATGCATTACTAAGCCCGTCTTAAAAAATAAAAAATCGGGCTAGGACCAGATCCGACTTGATTTCGAGTCGAAAAACAGCCTAAAATCTACCTAAATTGTAGCTAGGTCAGTTTTGAGCAGCTCAACTTCTTATACATGTCCTAATGGTTATGTCTATAAAAAAAAAATAAAAAAAAAAAGGATTATGTCTATCATTTTCCTTACTATTATTTTATTTTTGTTCAAAAGCCATCAAAGATTCAAGTGCTTAAAAATTGTAGTGAAGGGCTGAGATTTTTTATCGAACCCGGAAAGAAAAACAGGAGGCCTGAATGCCTGATATTAGAAAAAAGATTAAAACCAAAACCGACTCTAAATACTTGTAGGTTATAAATTGCAGTTAGATTGCAAGATTGCAACTTCTTTTCCTCTCAAAATTTCCAGAAAATCCTAATCGAAGAGAAGCAATAGAAATTGAGAAAAAACTTTTTTATAAAAATGGATGACTCTATCCCTGTTCGTCTTTTTCGTTCTATTCCTCCTCTAACTGAGTTTCTGGATGCAGATCCATTGGATAGCACTAACCTCGATAAATTCACGGACGATCTTCTAGCGAAGTGGGACGAGTAAGATTATAATTTTCCAGATTTTATCAATTTAAGCTTTTCATTGTCTCTGCTATTAAAACTTTGCAATTAATTTGTAGGACAATTCTTTAGTAATTTATCCTAAATTCAACCCTTAATACAACAACAAGAAGATCAGGATCAATTACAAAAATTGCAAAAATCGATTATTGTTAGTTGAATTCTGCAATTTGATTATTGTTATTTTCCGATTAATTTCTCCAATGTTCGATGGTAAGCGGTTGAAGGCGGTGGTCGATAAGGGTTTGTTGAGGGCGGTGAGATGTGTGTGGAGGGCAGTGAAGTTGAAGGCGGTGGTCGGTGGGGTGTGTTGAGGGTGGTGGGGTAGATTGCAGTGGCTAGTGGTGTATGTTATTGGCGGTGACGTTGATTATGGTGGCTGTCCAGGAAATTGGTGGGTGGTGCTGCCGGTGGGGAATTGTAGATGAAGAAGAAGAGGAAGAATTTGTCAAAAGAGTCAAAATAGCGGTTAGGTCGGGCTCACAGATGGAAAACCCAATGATAAAATAAAATAAAAAATTAAACGGGTGGTTAGTTCAAAAACAGGTTCATTTTTGTGGGGATAATTTACAAATTATCCTTAATATTATTTTAAATCTATATTGTTTGAATTCTAAGTTTTTTTTTAAGGGTAATAATGATAATAATTTGTTTGTTCCGTAATCGCCAATTTTACTTGGTTATTCACAAGGTTATTATCGCTTATGATTATTATTTTCTGTATTGTTTGAATTTTAAGTTTTTGTTTTAAGCGAATAATGATGATAATTTGTTTGTTCCGAAATCGCCCAATTTTACTTTTTATGATAATAATAGTTGAATTGAAATTATAGAAAGTTGACTAATTTAGAGATTGATTATGGATTACAAGGTTGGAGAAGGATTCCTTGCCTATATTCATTCCCGATACGGTTATATTCTTCCCAGGGCGTACGGACATTTCCAAACCCTTGAGCAAGGCGGATCTCTATAGTCAATTGGCTGAGTATTCTGAACAGGCCTTGGCTTACTTTAACAAAACCAATGTATGCATAATTTAACAGGCCTTGGCTTACTTTAACAAAACCAATGTATGCATAATTATTACTTACTTCCTTTGTAAATGTTTATATTCTATATTAGAGTTTTACATAGTGTTCTCTTGAACTAAATTGCACTCAACTTATGTTATCCGAACTTATTGTCCTTTATTGGTCCTCAACTTATCATATCTTACCTTATTATAGTGGGAAATTATATGGCAAGGGTTTATGCTAGATATCACTCTCTTCGTTTCATTTTAATGGTTACACTTCAATTTCAACAAAACCAGATATGTGATAAGTGGAATTGAAAAAGAGAAGCTATTGTAAAATATATATATAGTTGTGGGAAAGTGGTCCAAAAATAGTCTTAAAATGGAAAAAGTTGTAGTATAACCATTTTTATGAAATACCTAACAAGAAAAAAAATTACAAGGGTTGTGAGTGTGGAACTTGGCTTACCTAAAGAGTTCGCGTCCGTCTTTATCTCGAAAAACGGAAAGTTAGTTTTTTTTTTTTTGATCTATATTTGTGGATTTCAGAAACAGTATAAAAGATTTTGTATGTGTGGACAAAGGGAGCACTATTATCTATTCTTTTCAACTTATTTTGACTTAAAAAAAACCAAACTCAAACATTTGCAATGAGTCCAATCATGAATCATCTGTATCAAATCTTTACATGGGAGAGGTTTGGAGCTATACTTCGTATTGTTTTTGTACATTCCACTTCACATCTCATGCCACAACATAATTGACATCATTACTGTCATTTTTTCTTTTCAGTTTTACTAGCCATTTTCAAATACCGATGTAGTAACTAACACCTTGTAAAGACTTATGCATAACGTAAAACTACTTTTATGATATGACTTGCAGAACACAGACTATAAGTCTGAAAATAATGGCGAAATCGTCTATGGTGATCAGGATTATTGTTATGCTACTCATTGCAACTTCACTGCTAAGCCTGATACAGCGCCTCTCATTCCTGGGGATTTTTCCAGCAAGCTCTTCTTTGCTGAATTTATGCACACTCCTCAGTCGATGACTTCCCTAACTTATTGTAGTCTGCTAGATGGTGAGACCTTTATCTTTATAATTCTTTTCCACCCCCTGGTGAACTCGGCTTTAGATTTAAACTCTTAACTATTCTATTTTTTTTTATGCTGTTTAAATAATGCTTTGTCTATTTGTAGTTTTTTCTTTGTCCTTTGAATGCTTGCTTTTTTTTTTTTTTTGGTAAAAGATAAGAACCAAGTAGGTTGCTTTGGGCATGTGAGACGTCTATTATGGAAAGTGGAGAGTTGGGTTTATGGGGATTTAAGAGAAGCCGAGGGAGGCTCAAGTTGACTTGGATTGGAGGCATACAAAAATGATTTTAAAAAATTGGGTTTGCAAGAGCATGTAGCATATAACACCTGACAAAAGTTTCTTTCATGCAAACTGATCTTATTTTATAGGGATTATGGCTTGGGCATTGTTTTAGCTATAAATTGAACTTTTAAATTTGTATAACTTCAATGAAGTTGTATAGCCTTTGGTCTTCTTCTTGGTTTATGAAAGCGAACATTTGGTGTCGGCTCATATTAGATATTTGTGCTTGATTGAGTTCTTTGGGGTTAATTTGATCTTTATAATGAGATAATATCATCTCTTAAGTTTCCACAGGTGGGACAACATTTGGATCTCTTGGTTCATAATGCCCATTGTTGTTATTTGTACCCTTCTAGTATGCCATTGACCCATTGTTCTACAGGCTTTTTTGCTCTTAAACCTGGGGTTCTTGTTTGATTTAGATGACTTGATAATCTTGTTTGGTGACCAACCAGCGTAAAAAAGGTTGTCTTTTTGAAGGGATGGTTTTGGTTCATATTCTTTGCTTTACTTCCCATCATAGCTCAAACTTATATCTTGTTTAAAATGCATTCTTCCTCTTTTGTCCCCTAAGCATGTTATATGTCCCTTAAAATGCTTTCTTCCTCTTATATTTCCATGATTATTCTGTTCTTGATTCATCTGTGTGCTGTTATTACCTTCTGTTTTATAATCTTTTGAGTCTCTAATTAACTTGAAATGAAATTGTAGTTGAGCTAGTTTTGTATCATTACTAAATATAATTAATTTCATCTTTGTTTATGACCTCCTCCTTGATGGCCTAAGCCCTAATGTGGTTGGCTGCCCTTGAGAGTTGGGAGTTTTGTTGAGGGAGTGGGAGAATCCCTATATAGTAGTGCAAGAAGTAAAATGCAACATGCAACTGAAACAGGCTCTACTGTGCATGGAAGTCTTCGCTTAATACAGTCCAAAAGAAAGAGGGTTAAGAAGTTTGTATGTCATTGCTGCCTGCTTATTTGGTATTTGTTTTTAGTACTTGGGGCTATTTGAGTAATACAAATCTTCTCATTTGAACTTGAACATTTATAATATATTTGGAATCTCTTGGACTTCTAGATCCTCTAATGCCTTGCCAACACTGCTGTGGAATGAACTAGCACCCCATCACCATAATCTAGATCTTGAATTCCAGCTATCTAATGGTTGTTTATGTTCAACATGACATGCTTTTGCCTTGCTCACCTTAGTAAACATTTTGGGAGTTAAGGGTGTGGATTGAGGAAGTTCCTCGAGATTCACTTTGTTTTATATTGTGTAATTCTTCAGCTTTTGCTTAATAGAATTCTCTGATTCCCATAAAAAAAATGACATGCTTTTCCGGGCTGCTGCCTCTGTCCTTTTGCTGCTCTGCTGCTGCCAGCCTGCTTTTCTATGTTTCAGGCAGCTTGTTTAAACTGATAGGTTTTGTTGCTGGTCCTGCATTGCTGTTGCTGTGCAGAGCTTTTGCTTTGTTGCTGCCTGCTTTTCTTATTGGTGTTGCTGATGCTGTAATTCTTTATTATTGCTGCTGCGGTTCTCTCTGTCTGCTGGCAGTTTTTATGCTCTTGGGTGTAAAGGCTGGTTGTTGGTTGTTGGGGCTGCTGGTTGTCTTTGCTGGCTGGTGCTCTATGTTTTGCTTCTGGTTGCCTTTCTTTGCTGCTGTTGGTATTTTAATTGATGGCTGCTAGCTATTGCTTACTTTGGGTGGATACTGCTGCTGAGTTTTTGTGCTGCTGCTGCTTGGTTTTTGGGCTGGATTTTTGGTGTGCTGCTGGTCATTTTCTTGTTGCTGCTGCCTGGTTGCTTTGCTGAGTTGATGTTTTTAGTGGTGTTTGCCTCCAAGGCTGCTGCCTTCTGTGCTTTTACCCTTGTAGCAGCCTGCTTTGGTTGGTGAAGGTGTGCTGTAGGTGGGTCGTGCTGCTAGGGTGTGCCCTTGCTGCTACTCCCTGGCTGCTGCCTCACGCTCTTAAAGCCTCATTTATAATGAGAAATTGTTGCATCCGTGTTTTGTGGGGATAGGAATTCTACAATCCCTTGCTTAAAGTCACCCGTAAAAATGGCCTAAAAATAAATTAAAAAGACTCCTGATGGATTATGTTTTGTCTTTTATTTCCAGTATAGGTTTCAAAGAAAGTTTTTTTCTTATTTTTTATTTTTTTTTGTGAAATTTTATCTCGATGATTTAATTGTGCAATTACTTAATTATGCCCTAATTGTTGTGGTTTTGAATAACTCTGTGAAACTAGGGAATTCAATGGTAAATGATATGTAGGTGTTGGTCTGGCGGCAAGCCTTAATGCTATTTTTGCCTGGGTGTGTATGTTTTAGATGGTTCACTGTTTTTTGGCAAGAATAATGAACGCCCTCTTATTATGAGCATCTCTCTTACACACGGCTCCTTAAAATCTGTTTGTCTAATTTATCTTTGTTTTATAGGTGCGGACTACAAGAAATACTGCGACATGTGCCCCAAGGGAGTGATTCGTCATCCGAAAACTTTCCGATATGGTGACAAACCACCCCTGGATTGATTTCTCAGCCAATAACTGAATTTTGGTGAGGAAGGGGGTTGGATGAATTGTACATGGAAGGGCATCATATGTGCCACTTGAAGACCATGTAGTAAACTTGTAGTAATGTGTGGCTGCAGACTATTTGAATGTAGCCTAAATATGGTAATGTGTGTGGTTTACAAGAAAGTTTGAACTTATAGTAATGTGTGATTTGCAAGACAATTTGAATGTAATATGTGGTTTGCAAGACTATTTGAATGTAGCCTAAATATGGTAATGTACTAAGGTAGCCTAAATTAGCTAATAACTACCTACATCAGACTATTAAATTCCTATTCTAACTTATTTATTATATTGTCACCCAATTAAATTAACAATCATCACAACTCAATCATCTCCCATGAAAGTACTAGACCACCGTGCACTACCTTTACCGTTGTCATCGCTACATCTAACCACTACCTTATCACCACTGTCAAAGTCGCCTCCTCTCCTCCTATGTTCCCTTTTCCTTCTTTATTTTTTTTTAAAAAAACTTTTAGATGTGATGGTTTGAGGGGTGATTGGGCTTGTTTGGGGTGGCTCGAGGCGGTATCTAGGTGGATTAGGGTTACTAAGGGTGGTTTCGATGTGGTTCAAGATGAGTAGGGGTAGTCTTGGGGCGATTTAGGGGGGATGTGGGTGGTTTTGGGGGTGAGCGAGGGTGGTTGTACCTGTGCAGGTAAGGCGTCGGTCCGATCCCCTTACCAGGAAATGAACTAGGAAAAAGCTATAGGCAGCTACCTGGTAGGCAACTCGTCAGGAAGAGTCTATATCACCGATAGCCTGAAGGAGATACCCGACTTCTTTGGCTTTCGATTAACCAATTCTTAGGTGGTTTACGCTGAGAAGGTATAGTTTTCGAGGTGGTCTGTGCTAGAAGGTATGGTTTTCGAGGTGGTTTGAGTTGAGAAAGGGGGATTTTAAGGTGGTTTGAACTTAGAGAAGGTGATTAGTGGTTTCGGTGTTTTTCGAGCTAATAGGGGGTGACTTCGGGTTGTTCAGGTGGAGAGGTTTTACGATTGTCGTGTATGTATAAGTGGTTTCAGGGTGATTAGGGTTGAGATGGGGTGGATTAGGGTGTGAGGTGGGTGATTTCGGGGTGGCTGATGTTGGCCGACGGTGGTACGGTGGCTGTTGTTGGCCGATGGTGGTGCGGTGGCTGTTTTTTGTGGTGGAGGTTAATTTATTAATTACCTTTACTTTCTCTCTCCTACCTTGCTTAATTACCTATTTTTAATTCATTAATCAACCATTATGAAATTTTGTCTTAAAATCCATGTCGAGCTCAAAGTTGCAACTATTTATAATTTGAAACGGAGGTAGTACTAACTTTGACTATATTTTTTATTAGCATAATACTATAAACATATTTTTATCATATAATATGTTAGATAGGTATTGATATAAATTTTTATAATATAACTTTTTTAAAAAAAATTATAATTTTTTATTAATATTTAATTATATAAAAATAAGGTTTTATAATATAACTTTTTACCTCTCCTTTGCTATCCATAAAGTTTTCTAATATAAAATTTTTACCATCCCTTGCTATCCATTCACCTACTACCCGCAAACCCCCTCCCTTGCTACTCCGTCCTTCATCCTGCCCACTAAGGAATCGGTAGGCGGTTGCACCCTTTTCCCTGAAAAACAACTCTCCTTTCCCTAACCCTTGAAAATAAAAAAACCCCGCCTTTCCTCCACCCCTGAAATCAGAAATCCTAATTAAACCGACTTTATTAACTGTTGACCCAAACTTGACTCGACCCAATATGACCCGATCTATATCCGACCCGATAACTTGATTGCCAGGTCTCGATATGTAGGGATGTTAATGTGGCGAAGTGGATGGTGGCCTTACTATCCCTATCCCCTCCTTACATTCTCATCCCCAAACCTCTACCCATCCCCACGGCAAGTCCAAAATTCATCCTTATCCTCGTCTGACGGATACAATTTCAAAACCATCTCCACTCCATCCCCACCTTGATATTCACACGACCTATTCCCCCCCAAGACTCGCCTTATCCCCGCCTTCTAATATAACAATTCTACGCAATATAAATAATAATAATAATAATAAAAAAAAAAAAAAGGAAATTCTACATGGTGGCCTTATGGTTTTGCGTTTTCTACGTGGAAGACGAACTTTTTTCTAGCTCGATCTCTTCAGTGACACCAAGGTTTAGAAAAATTTACATAGTGACTTTTTTTAGGTTTATGGCTAACCTTTTTAGTTAAAATGGTTAACCTTTGATTTTTTTTATTAAAAAATTATTTAAATTATATTTTAAAATAATAAAATTTATAAAAAAAAAACAAAAAAAATTCAAATTTTATTAGAGAGGAGAGAGAAAGGTGGGTTTTTTTTTTTTTTTTTTTTTTTTTTTCTTAATTTTATAATTTAAAAATATAATTTAAATAATTTTTTAATAAAAAAAATCAAAGGCTAACCATTTTAACTAAAAAAGTTAGCCATAAACCTTAAAAAAGGTCACTATGTAAATTTTTGTAAACCTTGGTGCCACCGAAGAGAGCTTGAAAAAAGTTCGTCTTCCACGTAGTAAACGCAAAACCATGAGACCACCATGTAGAATTTCCCTAAAAGAAATTGTTACTATTTGTATAATGTTTAGGGTTAAAATACCCCCTGCCACGTGGCCCAATGGGGAGCTGACACGTGTTAGCCTCAGGGAGGCCTAGAGAGATCCAATCCCTAACTAACACGTGGCACGTTAACCCTAGCAGGGAACCAGATCCCTATTCAGTATTTCAGTATAAATAGAGGAAATTCCTCATTTATTAATTCATTCACAAATTCCCACAAAAAACGCACAAATTCCCAAAAGAGCATTCATTGCAGAATTCTCTCGGAATCCGAGAGAAACACAATTATTTTCGTACCAAACTCCTCATACACGCTCTAATTTGATCGTTGGAGGCGGAACTCGCCCCAAACGGAGTTTCGTTATTTTGCAGGTACAGTCGGTCAGGAAGCTCAGTCTCGGACTTGTAACTCTCCCGCAGGACACATAAAAAACCCCGAAACATATAACACGAGTTTTTGTTTATTGTATAAGTTTATTACAAAGTATTATGTATACTACTTTATTTACTTAATTTTTTTTATAAAAAAATAAGTATAAAAAAATATGTATAGTAATTTATTTTATAAAAAAAATATGGATATTGGTACAAAGTGGGTACGAAGTGGAGGAGACTCAAGAGAGACAGGGCGAGTATGATGTGGGATTCGAATGCGAGCGGGTACAACTGAAATCTAGCCCGCCCCATCACCTATGACAGGTATAGTTTTTATATTATTCCCATCCCGCCCCACCACTCGTCAAACCGAGACCTGGGATGGGTCTCCTACTTGACCCACCCGACATCTCTATCACCTAATGGCTTGTAATTTTTGAATCTTGACAGTAAGATTTTCAATTTTGAGACTGAGATATCTTCTCACGGTTAAGTATTGGTGTATAGTTGTTATTTACATGGCAAGTAAATAGCATGAATAAGACAAAGGAGTAGTGAAAAATGTTCTTCTAGTGGTACGAATATTAACCACTGTAAATAAATTATCATAAAATATTATGCCACTATTACCTATAATAGTACTATGTAACGATAAAAAATTACAAAAGTTATGTGAACTTACCAATTAGCCCTTCTATATGCATCCCAAATAAATAACAGATTTGCGCCTAGTTGTACTCTCTTCTTACCGCGATAAAAGGGATAAATTAACCAAAGTAAGCTTAATTACAAAACAAATTTTTAAGCTAGACTCGTGGCCAAACTATTTACCAAACTAAGCTTCTAGGGTAGAACGCTGTATCGGACAACATTTTATACCCTGGTTTTTCTTAAAAAAATACAATGTGTAAAACGCTGCCTCAGTCAGCGTTTTAAATGTTGACTTTTTTTTTTTATTAGTAATGTTCCTAAACTATAGGAACTAACTTTGAATCAATATCCAACAATTTTCAACGACTCATAAGAAGCTAAATTGCAACAGTAGAATGTGTTTAATTTTATTTCTTAAATCAATTAGCGTTTTTAGTGTAATTTTTCTTTAAATTATAAAAATCAGAAATTACGAAGTCAACATGTAAAACGCTGTTCGAGACCGCGTAAATATTTTGACACGAGTGTAGCTTAAAAGATTGTTTTGTAATTAAGCTTACTTTAGTTAATTGTCCCAATAAAAGATGAAATAAGTCAAAATAAAGATGGTACAGTAGTAGCTAGTTTTGGTAGGTGATGTTTAGTGTTTAGTGTTTACCGTAACTAGTTAAAGTCAATGTAAATCTGAAGTGGACAACTCCGCTCAGGAGTCAGCCTCGTTCATGTTCTGCTCAGAAAATATGGAGAGCTCAAGGAAAAAAAAAAAAAAAGAAACACACACATACAGAGTGATGCCAGGAAATTTGTACAGATCCATCTTCTTGGATGGAGAGCTCCATATCTGCAAAGTCTGGTTTGTAAAACAATTTCCTCTTTTTTTTTTTTTAATTTTATTTCTTCATTTCTGTTAAACTTGATTGATTGGTGAATACTTTTGTTTCATTGATTCAATTTATCATATAATTTAATTTTAAGATAAATATTGAGGATGCTTGTAGGCTAATAGAGGAATACTATGTGTTGACGAGGTTAATCTTTTGGATGACCAAGATAAGCTAACAAGATAATCTTAAGAAAAACTATGTTCGGTTGGATCCGGGGTGGAACACTGTGGAAAGAGAGGGAATTTCCATTTTACATCCTGCTCGGTTTATCTTGATCGGTTCAGGAAATCCCGTCAATTACTCACTGTTTTGGGATAAAGTTTGTTGAGGAGAGGGCCCGCTTCGATAAGAATCCTAAAGAGTCTTACAAGATAAGCTTACTGACCAGATAACATCTGCAAGGAATAACCTTTCTGCTGTTCAAATTGATTATGATCTCCGTGTTGAATAGAATGTTGAGGGTTTGAGAGGTGTCATTGTAACAAATAAAGCAGCAAAGGCTTTGGCTTCTCTTAAGGCTACTGTTATTCCCAATTGCCTAGACATCGGCTAAGGAAGGATCATTTGGAGTCAATAGATTCTGGTTTACTTGTTATTGACGACTTCTATCAAGTTTTTAGCTCAACGATGCGTATCACCTTTCTGCCATTATACTATGTCCTTAAATTTTGTCTTCGGCTAGTAACTTATGCTTCTTTCCTAGTGCATACGATTTCTGACTTGAGTGAAACATCCAATACTGTAA